CATCGCGGCCACCCTGCAAGCTACCGCGGGCAGTGTGGGGTTGGGTGCTGCCGGTACCTGCCCTGGGCCTGCACCAGGAACTGTATTTTTAGCAATGGAAGCGCCAGGCGGAAGAGCCACCCTACGCAACAAGGAAACCTATCCCGCCCAGCCGCCACCCCTTATCTCACATCCCAGCTCCATCCTGCCCCTGCACCCTCCCTTCCCCAGCGCAGCTCCTCTGCCACCTCCAGCCATGCCAATACGGCACTGACCGCTTCCCGTCCCACCCCTGGACCGACGTCTGTCTGCCTGTCTGTCTGTCTCCAGATTCCCCCCAGGTTGCTCCCCACCACCGTGCATCAGCCACTGGTCCTGCCGCAGACCAGCAGGCAGCAAGGGCATCGCGTGGGCTCGGGGAGCTAGGTTGGGTCTGGGCAGGGGGTCCCGCCGAGCCCCCCCCAGGCACTGCCGAGCCATGGGACCCGTCTCCCATCCCCTCGGGCAATGCCAAAGGCACGGGGATCACAGCCCCAGGGTAGCAGGATGGTTTGCATCACCCTTGTAAAATTGGATGACCCCAAAGGTGGGCTGATGTCTGGGCAGGGCAATTTGAGAAAGCTGGAAATCCTCACCCAGCAACTCCGGGCAAACAGCCCCGGCTGCGGCTCCGTCACTGCTGGCAGGGCCCTGCAGCGGGAGAGGGTGCCCCATGGCAGAGATCATGGCCAAGCCGTGCTGAGAGGAACCTGCCAGGTGGCATCTCTGCCAGCCTGAACCACCAAGATGGGATGGAGTGACCGGTCCCCACCATTCCCCAGCCCTGCCAGACCCCCACAGTCCCCACGCAGCACCAGGCACTGATGAGTCCATGAGACGCAAGCCAGCCCGCCAGGTCTACGTCCTGCTTCGCATCCTGGCAGCGCTGCCAGGAATCGCTGGCGCGGCAGCTGCCTGCGCACAGGCAGATGCGTCCTTCCCGTGCCCCCGCTCCTGCCTTGCAACATCTCCCTCCCGGGGGCAATGTCCTCTCCTGTCTCCTCCCTGCTACAGCCTTCTCTTCCGCCGTCCTGCAGCTGTATCCCTATGGCAGAGCCAGATGAGAGCCCAGCCACGGAGCGAGGCTTACCGGGAAGAACTGTGGCCATCAGTGGTCCAGGATGGGCTGAGAACAGCCAATTTGGAAAATTCCCCTTCCACCACAATGACTTGTCTTCACCATCCTCGTTTTGCTCAAAGGGCTGAAAAGCTGGGAGAAACGCCATGATTGCTTCCCAATGTCCCATGGTTTGGAGAGCACCCAGCAGAGACACCAGTGAGAGCAGGTAGGAGCGTGCCAGCTTCTGAGTCAGCTGCAGATGGCATGGGAACCTCCGACCCGTAGCCGGGTCCCCGAGGCTTTCATGATGTTCAATCCACCAGCCCTTGGCCCAGCCACGCAGCAGGCACCCCTGTAACCCTTCCTCTAAAAGCTCTTTAAACATGGAAAACACAACGTGCAGCCTCAATGTTCCCTCCCACTGCTGCTGCAAGCCTTCCTCCCTCCTAACTGATGGTGATGGCTCTGCAGGGCTCATCGAGGATGGCGAAAGACCAATCAGACCACAGCGCACGGAGAATTTCCTATTGTTTCAGACACTAATTTAAATTGTTTTGCTCTGCAGGACAAGCACATAATCCTTTTTTTTTTTTGTGCATCATCATATTATCTTAACAGACACTTGAATACCCCTTGAAAGGCTCCCAAAGTGCACGACGTACGTGCAAATGTCCACCTTTGGTGTATCGCTGAAATAAAGTACCATCAAAAGAAGAGTTTGGTCTGAAGCCATAGTCAATACCGTATCGGTCAGGAAATCTATCAGTTCTTCAGCTCAGCGTACACCTCACTAGTGTCATCTAGGGAGATAGATCTGTGGTTTACCCAAAAAGACATGTCTTTTGGTGTTAAATGGTTGAAAAAGGAGCTGATAGTGCCAGCGTTCATTGTGAACTTGCCTCATTTCAGCATCAGTATGTGCCAAGACACAGAGAAGTGGTAGATACGCACGCGGTCCCCCAGCGATCGCTGGCTGCCTTCCACTTCTTTGCGGGGCGGTGCACGCAGGACGGCATCCCGCTCCTCAAGCCGGGTGGGATGCACCCCATCCCTCGCAGCTGCCCCCCAGGTCCAGAGCTTTCCTTCCTCCGACTCACTCCTCGCTCAAGGCCATAAACACCCACTGAATATTTCGTTCCGCACCGGTCTGTCCCCAGAGCCATAGCTATTAAGACCAAGCAGGAGCGGTTCCTCCAGCGAATGAGCACGCTGTGGGATGCAGACCACAAACTGTCCCCAATATCCCTAACACCTAACAGTTTCTCCCTATATGTACATATCCTGGCACATATATACCTCCATAGATTTCCTTAAGTGCCTGCTTGTGCTACACCATGAAAAAGACATTTCGTATTTAAAAAAAACCCAAACAAACAACAAACTCGAAGCCAGGCCCGTGCACCCTGATGTGGTCCAGGACCCTGACCCGCACCCGTGCTCCCAGTCAGCAGCTCCAGCAAACACAGCTGCTGACCCAGTCTGATGCTAGCAGCGGTGGGACACGGAGCAGCGTGTCCCTTGCCCAAGTCACCCCAGGGGGACCCGCTGCCTGGGCTGGGCTTGGCGGTCCTGGCACCCCCAACCCCAGCCGGGAGGCTCGGGCTGATGGATCCCGCTGTTGATGTGGGGGCTGAAGTCCAGAGCTCCCCAGCCCTCCGGGCTTGCTACAGCCACCGCCCCTGGGAGCGAACAGTCCCTCAGCCACCAGCATCCCCACAGGACCCCACCGGAGAGCCGTTCCTGATCCCCCATCGCTTTGGTGGCAATGCTCCAGCATCGATCAAGCAGCCCTTGGAGAGGCAGCAATTTTCGCAGCCATAATCGAGATGTGGCACTGACCCCTAGTGACAAGCTCCTGCCCCGATGCTGCGCAAGAGACGGGCTGCGATTGAAAAAGGACGCGTGGCCAAGAAAAGCCGGGATGCGGGAATGTCCTCATCTTGCACAAACCCTGCTGAAGGAAGGGATCCTTCTGCTGCAGGGCTCGGCAGGCTGGGGAAACGTTCCCTTAGGGATGCATCCACCCCAGCCCAGGACACCAGCCCCGACGCTGCACTCAAGACAGACGCAGATTGACCGTACTCGAGATAGAATTTATTTTAGACATCAATGACAAGCCCAAATATCGCACTTCACCTGCACCAAGCGGGAGAGCGATGCAGTTACCAGCAGCAGTGGCGTCATCAGGGACAGGATGGGAAATGACCGACGTACAGCTCGTAGAGCCCCGCAGTGTAACGACCTTATACAGCAGAGGAATGACGGGAACTCACGGAGGATCTGTTCGCGCCCTGACCTACCCCCTCCCTTGGGAATACTCAGCTGCATGGCAGGCTCCGATCTGCATGCTACAGTTTATTACTTTAAATACACACATTTTGGCTCTAAGCCTGTCATTAAGTCCAAAAATGGTCTGTTTCAATTAAGGGCTTCAAGGAGAGCCCAGGACTAATGGTCTATTTCTGGGCATTTCAAAATACTCCCAACCATGTGGGCTGCTTGCAGGACGAGAAATACAAACTTTACAATGTTCTAAGCAGTTCCTTACCATCAATTTTTCCCCTCCCCAGTAACTTCAGAGCCGTGAGGAGGGTCCGACCCTCCTGACACATCTCAGCAGTGCTGTGGAAAGGAGCAGATGTTTATTGAAGGGGGTGGGAAGATCGTCATGGCATGAGTGGGATTAGACAAAGCTTCCCTCCAAACACATCCCCAGCCCACATCCCACACTGTTCCGCAGGCTCAGGTCCTCCAGCAAGGAACAACAGACCTTTTGCTGTCCCAAAGAGATGAGCAGAGGCTGGAAAGCCACTTTCCCAGGCCCTGCGTCTCCCCTTCTAGATACGGATGTGAAGCAGGTCCATCCCACATTGGGATAGCCTGTCCCCAGCACCGCCAGCCTTGTCCTTCATCTCCCTCCCCTCGTTTCCGAAGCGCTGGTCTTTCTGCAGACCTCACTCCCCGCACCGTCCTCAGCTTAGGAAGCACCAACCTTGCTGCTCTCACCAAGAGCAAAGAAAAATCGAGGCTGCAAATAACCCCCCGGGCTTGTAACCAAGAAAATGCCAACATTGAGCAAAGCCATCTTCCAACCTGCCTGCCCTTGGGATTTGCTAGCAGATTTTTGTCCCGGCTATTCACGGCTGTTGCGATGACCTGAGCTCTGGTCTTCGTAATAAAACTGCTTTAACCAGATACTCCTCTTACCCCCAGGGATGAACATGCTCACGAATTCGGTTCACAATTCAGGTGTGAATACAAGCGGGTGCCAGTTTAAGCAGCCCTGGAGCGGGTGGCACGCTTCCCCTCCCAGCTCCACATGGTTACAGTGCAGATGTAATCGCTTTTTGAGAGCAGGGCTTGCCGACACACATCAGCAGAGCTGCTACTGCAAGCGGGGAGAGAGAAATATGCTTTTTATCCTGGAATCACTCACCCCTTCCTGCTTGGGTGCAACCAAAGCACCTAGATGAGACATACAGAAACTATAGAGCAGGGCTGCGCTGATTCGACTTTTCCAGCGTAGTTTGTCGCGCAGGCGAGCCTCCAGCGTGCGGTGAGCTCACCCCATCTCTCCCCCAGCTATGGGGCGGGCTGAGCTCCCTTGCAGCAACCTCCCTGCAGATCTGCTCTCGCCGCTTGCTGTGAAATGCAATCCCAACAGCAGCCGGGAGGGCCAAGGTGTGGGGTGTACGGACACGTATCTGGCATCAGAAATCACAGCCACCGTAGAATGGCCAGCACACTGCAGCAGGGAAGTCACACTGAGACTTAGGGGCTGTTTTATCCCTTCACCATTAATTTACAGCTGAAAGCACTCCTCTCCTTGGTGTAAAGGCTCACGGAGGGCTGGGAAAGTGATAAGGTTTTCTGGGTACCGTCCCACATCTTTCACTGCCCCGGGCAGGGGGATGCCCAGCTCTCAGAGCTCGCTATGTCTCTTGCCCTGCTTCTCCCTTGCTGCCAGCCTCGGGGCTGTCCCCCGCAGGTCCCTCCCAGGGGACCCGACTTTCTCTGCGTTGGTCTCCTGGGACGGCTCCTCCTGGACAGCAGTGTCCCCTCCTGGGCTTTCGGGCAGGTGCCGCTCCGGCGTGTCCCCGCGGCGGTGGGAGGTGTGGAGGGGGAGCTCGGGCACGGCTGTCTCCATCATCTGGAGGAAGTCGTAAGCAGGGAGAGGTGGTTTCCAGTCTTCGTCAGACAAGGTACCTGAGAAGTGAACACAGTCCCATGTTAATAAGTTAAGAGTTATGCAGCCCCACTCCACGGACATTCCCCTTTCAAAGGAATTATGGCTTTTTTTGCTCTTCTAGCGAAAGCAAAATTAAAGATCATTTCTTAAAGATCACCCTCTTTCCTCCAAAACTACTAACGCCAGCCAAATTAAACCCGCCAAATGTGCATTAATGTTTACTGGAGCTGGCCAAGGCTCCGCTCCCCAAAGGCTATGGGGATCCCTCTGTCCTCCGACACCCCCACTGCAAAGGTCACACTGGGTGTCTGTCCACCAGTGGGTGGATGTTTCACTCAGGTCTCAGATAACTGCGTTAATGACTGCGCGTTACTGAGACGCCATTAGGAGTGAGGGGAGACTGCTGTCTATACGGGGAGGAAGCGGTCCCATTATGTGAGGATGCTCTTTAATTTATGCTTTTAAGACTGACCACACGGTTTGTAGCACTTAAAAGCTTGAGGAAGGAGGTGGTGCAGTGAGCTGCTCAGCCATCAGCTCACCCCTGAAAACTAAAGTCCCTATCTAGAAACCTAAATGACAGCCAGGTGCCTTTAGCAGTGGCGATGGAAAGAGGTGTGGGAGGACGGCTGGCTCACGGGGTTCTCGCAGCGATTACTGGGTCAGAAATGGTGTCTTCAGCTCCGGTGAGAGCCTACACATCCTCCCCCAGCAGGCTGGTGCCAGCTTTTGGAAACACTTGCTTTGAAAGGCTCATTTTAAAATTCACAAGGATCAAGTGGCATCAACCCCATCGCCTTTCCGGAGCCTGGAGCAGGCTGGCAGCTGGCAATTCCCAAGATCCCTATAGCACCTATGGCTACGCATAACACATGAGGAATCTGTGCTGCCTTCCTCCAAAGCTTCAGTGGGCTGATCAAGGCAGAAGAGACGCAATGAAAAGCTTCACGGTAGAAGCCAACTCTTTATGTCCCGAAGACCACAGCAAAGCACCAGCTTCCTTATCCTCTCCCATTCAAAGAAATGCTGGAAGGTGCCTAAAGAGCAGCTATTTCTGATGCTGACAACTGGGAGTCAGGAGACTTTTTATTAGCAAGCTGTGTTTCAGTAGGTCTGTTCGCAGGAACCGGAGAGCACAGCCAGGTTTGGGGAACTATTCACGCTTGGCTCTGAACATTAAACAGTTCCGAAGCAAACTTGTGAGTGCGGGTATTCTCTTCTGGCCGGACTATTTGTACTTCTCCAGGTCAAACTAGCATAGCTAGTTTTTCCATCATTAAATTCCAGGGCAGACAATTTATTGCGTGTAGCATCTTCTCATAAACAGACCGGAGCTAACAGTGCGTGCTTAGGAACGTTACAAACGCGTGTCCACTTACTGCTGGGAATCTCCAGTCCTGCTTTTAGCTTCTCCAGCCAAGACAAGATGTTCATTTCAGTGATGGACTGCTCTGATGGGAACTTGAATACCTGACCTCCGGCATGAAGATTCACCCAGATGAGAACAGGCAGCGAAGGCATGGTGGCAAAATACGCCTTCAAGATCCCGTGTCCCACTGGAGTCTTCTTTCTGTTGGGAAGAAGAGATTCAACTTGCTCACCAGCGGTTTGGCAGCACAACAGGACCGACAGCCAAGCAAGCACCAAACCCCTTGGGCCACATCCAGCAAAGCACAGAGTTTTGCCTATGGGACAGCTGTAGAAGCTTATCGCATTATTTATAAGCTCAATGCCTTAGGCAAGCCATTAGGGTCCAAGGGAGAGGGAGCGGACAGCAGATTAGATGTGTAAAGAAATCCTTGAGCAGGAGGAGCTGGGGCAAACTCTGTAGGAGGGTGTGAAATGTTCTTCACCCTAAGTTTTTAAGAACAGGTGAGACAGGAGCGGGACAGATCCCGCAGCCGCCCAGTGCTTAGCCCCTGTTTACTGGGAGAGCTACCAGCTCCCTCCAGCCCAGCTGCTGCCACCGCCCCACGGCTGCAGCAAGCCCGCAGGGGACGGAGAGCTGGGGCAGAGGGCTGTGCTCCGGCGGTCCAGCCCCTGAGGTGGTTCCCCACAGCCCGAGGAGCTGGAAGAGCAACATCCCCAAGCGACACAGAGAGCCAAACATCGAGATGGAGGGACAGCAAGCCCGTGGAGATGTGGAGTCCTTCCGGCACTATTTTCAGGCTGAGAGTGATCCTCGAGGTCTGAGCTGGCTCTTGCCATGGGAATGAGGTCCTCTTTCTAGGATTATGCTACTCTTTCTGAGCCATATTCTGCCCTCTTTTGTGGCAATGCCTTTTGTTCTGTCAAAAGACAGCTTTTTCTTTCTCAGGAAGGGAGAGCAAAGGCAGATGTGTAGGTGGGGAAGTTCCAGGGGATCTCGTTTCTTGTGCATTACTGGCAAACAAATCGTCTTCTCTTTGAGAACATGTGCATTCCCCGTTAGCTAAACTTCAGCCCACGCTGAGAGACGCTTCCCAGACTTCAAAGCACATTATGATTAAGACAGTGAGGTGTCTCTGGGCTTGGGCAAAACAAACAGAGGCTAAAAATTGAAAACGCAACTAGGGAGGGGAAGATTAAAAAAAATCCGCTCTCCTACAACTTTCTATTTCTTAGCTCCTGGATTCATTTTGTTTCTTGAATAATTTTTAAGTTTGCGTTATGGGGCTGCTTCTGGCTGTCCCTTCTTCTGAAAACTTTCTTTCTCCCAGTCAACAACCAGTAATTGTCCTGCTGTGCTTCCCTCTAATTGTTGATGGAAAAATCACCATAAGACTCCAGGAGGGCAATTTTTTTTCTCCCACATGTGACAAAAATACAAATAACACCAGAGCCAGGGTCAAGCTACTATGCAATATCTTTGAGAACATTTTAGTCTACTGAAAATTATTTCTGCAATCAATTAAACATTTACTAGTTTTACTTGGTCATGCAATTTTGCTGCTGCCCAGAACACATACTGAATCATTGCTAAATGATTTGACCTCCCATGACAACTCATGACAACTTCAGACCGAATAATCACATTACCAGCTAGATAGCGGTTTCAGTAATTGCAGGCTCAGTTTTTTCTTGCCCTGAAATGCTAAGAGTGAGCTAACGGAAAGAAGAAAAGAGGTTTTTACACACTTACAAGTTCAACCAGCAAGCCACAAATGCTGGCTGGGGTCTTCCTTTTGCCAGCTTCAGCATTTCCTTGCTTTCCATTTGACCGATGTCACCATCGCTGAACAAGATGAGGAAGGGCTTTCTGAGTTGCAAGTAGCGGGGCAGATTTTGCACGGTGATTTCTGGCTGCAAGACATCAAAACAAGAAGTTGGGGTTTATGGGGAGGAGAGAGCAGGACAAAATTAGACTTTCTGTCCTTACGTGAGGGGTTCAGGGACTAAGCAAGGCTGGAGGGTTCATGTTGAACGCAAGCAGCTTGAAAACAAGCGTGGGTGCCGGGATCTTGGTGCACGTTGGAAATGTCTACGCCCAACCCTGCCCATCGCATGCCAAGTCTGTCTGAGCCGCTGTGCACTCTGAGATGAAGGGATGTGAGCAGAGAAGGCAGAAGCAAGGCCAACTCAGCCCAGCCCCACGTGTTATGGCTATAACCAGTCTCTGAAAGGCATGTGCAAGAGGCAGGGAGCAGACCCTGCGAGAGACCAAGCCGCCACAGCAGCGGGTCTGTGACTATGAGCACAAGCCGGTCAATCGATTCCCAGGGTCTCCTCCCACGAGACCACACAGCAAACAGGAGATTTCTGTCCAGACTGTCTGATCCAAGCCATAAAATTTAAAAACAAACGTAACTCAGCATGATAAAAATAATGAGCAAACATATTTATTTTGCACAGCTCCACGCTATAATCAGTGATTCTGCAAATGACCGCAATGGAAAAAGGACACTTGGTTTTTCTTTTTTACTTACAAAAATGTCCAGCAATTCACATCTGATCATCTGCACCATGTCCTGCGCGCTCTGTTTGGACAAAGCGATGCCTTCCACGCTCCGACCTCTGCTCCTGGCAAGGAGGAGGGCTGGGGGAGACACCGCGTATTTACGGGATCTGAAAAAGAGGGAGGGTAACAAGAACTGGCTGGGGGGATTTGGCACGCACCAAATCTGCAGCACGCAGAGCTGGCAGCCCCATGGTGAAAAGTGGGGAGAGGGATGCAGGGGAGGGAAAAGCTGCTCTCAGAGGCACAGGAACCTGCAGGAGGAAAGGGATGTGTTCCCCATCACCCCCTCTCCAGCCCCTGCATAGTCCTGTTTTGATGGGGAGAGACGGGGCTGACGTGTTCCCTCGTCCCCTTCTGAAACAAGCACTTAACCAGCTTGCACAAGATGCTAAATACAGAGACACACACAAACAGCACTTTCTTCTGCAGAAAGACATCAGCAGCTAAATAATAGGGAAAATCCAAACCACCACCATCTAAACTGTTTGCTGGCACTTCTCTTTCATTTTCACACCTAAGGTTAGGTGGTGCAAATACCCACCCAGTGCTTTACTCTGCCTCCCAAGCCATAGGGAACAGAAGGTCTTAGACTCCATCTGAGGGACATCAACCTACATGAAATAAGCTCCAGGAGATCTGATTCTTGGCTTGGTGAACACGGGCAATTTTGCTGAAGTCCAGCCCTGCTTTAGAGCAACACACAGAGCCTCCACGCGTATATTCTTGGTGGAGAAGCCAGCTCATCCTTTGTTCCCCAATGTTCTTCTGGTAAGAGGGTTCAAGGGTATTTAAAGAAAAACTGAGAAGGTGGAAAGAGCAAAAATAGGAGAAGTCTGAGCAATGAAAGGGCAGGGGGCACACCAAGATGGGAGAGCAATGTTCTGGAAGTTTGAGGAACTTCAGTCCTGAAGGCTCCAGATGTCAGTGCCCAGAGGAAGGGCGCGATGGAGGAAGTCAGCTGCCTCAACAGTTTTTTTGGGGATGTCTGTAGTTTTATTTTTGAAAGGCTGCTGGCAATTTTTCAAAGGCTGTGACACCAGAACTGCTGGGAAAGTGAGTGAGGTGAAAGGACGTTTTGGGTTGTGGAGGTCGGGAGGTGGAAAGCCTTTGATTCCCTTTTCAAAAGTAATCTGGTCCATGGGTTTTTTTTCCCCCTATGAGAAAGATGCAACACAGACTCAGCTTACTGCAAAACAAACTACTTATTTTTAATGAAAGGCAGCTCATAGAAAAGTCATGTTACAACCTATTGCACTTCCCTCCACGGTTTGCTCAGGCAAGTTCAGTTTGGACGCTTATGTTAGCAGTTCTGAACGGGATGGAGATTTGTTCAAATTTGCTTTAAAAATCTCAGTGTTTGGTGTTTTAGGTCATCAATGACAAAGCAAGCGGGGGAAACTGCAGATAACACACTTCCATGATGTTCAGCTCATACGTAGGCCTTTCACTTCCTCCATCACAGCGCTTACCTGTCTGGAAATAATACACCCACTGCAAATTTCTAAGGGGCACCCCAGATCTGCACCGATGTCTGGATAAAGAGCAGCAGTAATGAATGACCATAGACTTTCCTGAGGCCTTCAAATGTTGTGAATCCATTGCTAAACTGGTCTTGGATTTATCTGAGCCATTTCAGCTTTTTTAATGTATCTTCGTAAATCCAGCCCCGAGCTAAGCTTTCCCTTTTCTGTCTGGGCTCCCAAGCTCTGCTACTCAAAGAAGTTGAGTCTCACACCTCTGGTCATGGCTGGGAATCCTCTGAGCTATTAGGAAGATCCTTAACTTTCCTCTCTGTTGTTTTTCATTGATTAAGAATGGAAAAACCCTAGAAAATGTTTAAATTCAGGGATTTTGAACTTCTCAAACTTCCACAGGTTTTAAAGAGACTCTCTGACTTCATCATGTCTCAGAGGAGGTAAGGAATCTTGCTCCCTACGTCTAAATACATCAACTTCTTCAGCAGCCTTTGATAAGGAAGTTTCTTATATACTGCCAGAAAACCCCATCTAGTCTACCCTGAAATCACTTCTCATCTTACTGGTACCAAGTGGTTGTATTGTTGCTTACAACAGCTTTCTATTTATATAGCAGGGGCATTCGATGGGTAATATGAGGCTTGCATTTAAATCAAAAACATCTGCAAACAAATACTTGGCAGGGATCTATGACATCTAAGTATTTGAGAAATAAATAATGACTTCATTCAAAGCATTTCTTCCTTAATGCTTTTTCTTTTTTCATCAGTTATCAACCGAGCAGGTGCTTGCTGAGCAAACAGTTTTGCTAACAACATTCTTTGTGTATTTTGTATACCTTTTTCTCTGGGAAGAGGAGACTCAGCTTTCCGTGACCTGGGAGCCACAAACATTTCCTCCTCGAGCGTTTAGCAGAAGAATAGCTTTTCTTTTCTTAAGAAGGGAAGTGAGCCTGGCTCTTGCATAAGGAATTCCTGTAAGTGTTTACTTACAGTTGAGAAGATGACCATCTACAGTAGCTTCACCCACAAATCACAGCCAAAATCCAAACTTGGCAGAATGAGTATCTATATAAACTGTATTAACTATTCCAACTGAACAGGAGCACGCTGCAGACTGCGGCTGAAGCAGGAGGACAGAGGTGTATTCTCGTATGTCATTGCTGAGAGAACACAGGCTTTTTCTACTGGTATCTTGTTTTGTAAGATCACCCTGCCCTTCTTTGGTTTTTTTTTTCCTTCTATCAGCTGGGCTGAGATCCTTAGGGGAGAAAAGTCTTTTACCTTGGGGGGTCAGGTTTTTCACCCTGATGCTGCTGGTTGTGACTTCTGTACCTGCCATCCCCCTACCCCAGCACTGGACAAGCCTAGCACTGCCTCACCTCTAAGACCTGACCACAGCTGGTGCTTTGAGCACGGTTTGGTTAATAGAGATGTACTACCAAGATATTTGCATTTTTATTCTCTGTGCATACCACAAAAATGTCCATGTCTCATCAGACATGCTAGAGTTGCATCACATCTGTAAGAAACTAATGAAAACAATTCACTGTTGCAATACTGGCTGTTAAACCCACACCTGGAAAACAGGCCAAGGACTTTCTGGGATTTTTAACTCTGCCTTGATAGCTAATTCCTGATGGAAATGAGATGCCAGGACAAGCTGAAGATTCCCCCTGGATCTAGCTGCATTTATAGGCACTGAAGCATCTCTCGCAGTCTAATCCAAAGCACTTTGCCCCTTGCTGGAGTGAGTCTTAATGACACAGTTAAGTGCATGGACTGACACACGCTCAGATCCCATTAGCTCCGATTTGGCTTAAGCTAGGGCTGCAATTGATGATCTTATTCAATCAGGAACCAACCAAGAAAGGCTTGACTTTGCCTTTACCATATTTACAGGAGGAAGGCTGCCATATTTTTCCAGCAATTTTCCTCCAGAAAGAGGGTGCACCCACCCCAAAGCTCTGTCTGGAAATGGTGGTAATGTCTTGCTCTGGCCAAGGGGAGGGAAATGGGTGGGCACATCTTTCAAGAAAAAAAAGATTCACAGTAAGATTAACTGGTGAAAAGACAGAGGTAGGTTCTTCCACATCCTTGGCAGTCTCACAGCCAGCTGCAAGTGCCCACCAAGAAGCTGGATGAGACCAAAGGGGTTTAACGCCTTTCACCATGCTGCAGAAAGGCTGACTGCTCCACACCAAAGCAGCTCCATGGAAAGAAAGCATTTATTTCAGGGCTTTCAAACCATTCTCCAGCACCCAGACACAATGCCCATCCACCGCTAGCCAAAAAAGTCTGCAAGTAGTCACAAGCAGCCTCTCTTTTGGCTGCTCTTGGCAACCATCAGAGCAAGACTCACATTTACACCCCTGGCTTTGCAGCAACCCCCTTATGCTCCCCCTCCCCATCCCGACCTCACAGGCACTTTCCCAGCATCAGGGCAGGGAAGAGGAGACGAGAAGGTGAAGGGACTGCAGAAAGAGGAAGACCAGTAACAATTTGTCACTTCTTTCTGATGGAAAGGGAAGGGCAAAACTGTTTTTTCTTCCTCACATACTGATTCAAGCCAGAGGGTATCATTTCTCCAGCCCGATTTTTTCCCCTTATAAATTTGGTCCTGTTTGTATGAGGAACCCAAGAGATGCATGCGGGGCTAGCACAGCTGGAGGACTGAAAATACCTAGAGTGAACTTGAACAGCAGGAAAGGAGATGACCGTTCATTACACCAGGGCTAAATGAGTTGACCGTGGACAGGTTGTAAATCAGTGGCAGAGCCAGGGCTACATCTCTCTCTGGCTGAGTCCTGACCAATCTCCCTACAGGACTAAGTCACTCATAGCTTTTTGGGGCTGCTGTTAAACACTCAGCATGGACAGTGACGCTTGCTGTAGGCATTGGCTTTCACTAAATGCAGATCAGCTTGAATTCTCACCAAAGAAAAAGAGAAACAACTTACAAAGCCAAGCCATCATCTTCAAAATACATCCCCATCGTTACATGGCCACTTAAGATGTTTCCTGCCTCTTCGAAAGCTTCCCTGGCTGTAAAAAAGACAAACATATAAAAATAAACAATAGAAAGAGAAGTGTCAGCTTCCTCCTGGAAACCAAATCGCTGTCTGCGTACATAACACCCTCCCACAGCAAATTGTCTGTGGGGAACAAAACTACGATTAGAGGCTCATGAGAAATGGATGCGTCTCATGGCCGCAGGCTATGGGAGGAGGAGTTGGCAGCAGCCAAAAGGATCAGAAGGAAAGTTCCTCCTTATTATGAGAACAGTATTTGCTCTTCAGCCACCAGCACTGAGTTTCCAGGATCTGCACGACAGAGGCACTGATGGAAAATGAAATGTCTTTAAGGACTTAGTCCATAAGTGTTCTTAGAAACAGGAGACCAATTATAAGTCTAAATAGAAATCTTATAAATCCCACTGACCTTTCGGAAATGACTGATTGATGACTTAACTGGAGCAGTGCTAAGTGCCCAGCAGATAAACCAACCTCTCCAAGTGTCTTTTGGTTTTATCCAGTCAGAGCAGGGTCTGTTACAGGCATCCAGCTAGGATAGGGAGGATCAAAAAGCTAAATGCCTTGCAGAAACAGCGTGCTCCACCGCTTTGTGCAGCTGCAAAGAGAGGGCAGCACCTCTGCCGTCGCAGCTCAGCATAAACGCACGTGCAGCGGCTGCTGGGGTCCATCGCTCGCCTTATGGAGATGGCGAGGTCAGGTAGAGGATGGGGAGGAAAGGACTGGGTTGGGGCTCTCTTCATCCATCACAACTGAATCTATGAGAGACTGAGAGCAGAGCCCTGAAATGAAGCTGACTCCAGAGCTGGTTTATGCCCTTATAAAACATCCTCAGTTTTAGGCAGCTGGATCCATGGGAGAGGCAAGCTTTGTGAGAACATGCAAGCCATAGTGTGTGAGCTTGTAAAATACAGATCAGAGTTTTGATCAGAGATCAAAACTGCTGCTGCCAAAGGTAGAGTGAAAATGGGGCGGATTTCAACACCACCACCCCTCCCCCTTTCTATTGAGCAACTGAAAGCAACAAAAAAGGCTCT